GGGATTGAACTCAGGTCCTTGAGCTTGCCAGGGAAGTGCTTATTCCACTGAGCCATGTCCCCGGCCCCTGCAAATTCTAATAGCAATAAGGGCACTGAATTCACTATATAGCCCAGGTTGGCCTCAAATTTGCAGCAATCCTCCTGCTTCAGACTTCTGAGAGCTGGGAACACAGGCATGTGCCACCATGCCTGGTGTAAAACGTTTAAATAATGAGAACAAAACAAAAACACACTAAGCAAGGCAATAAACAGTTCTGATTTCACTGCTGTGAGGACTCTTTCTAAACTACAAAGTAGCTTCTTAATAGGGAAAGAAATGAAAAAGAAAATCATATCACTAGCCTAATTTTGTAAAGCAATTTTTAGTTGGTAGCAACTTCACAGAAGCCATAGGTCACTGTGGCTGGGGGAAAAAATACTGAAGCACGCAATTTACCTGTTTTTAGGTTTTTATTTATTATTAAAAAAGAAAAAAAGCAAACAAAAACCCAGCTTCCTCTATAGTATAAATACCTAGCTTCACTCCATCACAAACAGTGCTCCGACTGGCTCCAGGACAGCCTTCCTACGAACACTTTATTAGTGAGGTCACCTGAAACAAGGCAGCTTCAAAATCTGAGATAAAAAGAGGGCTGGGCAAATAGTTCAGTAGCAAGCTCTTGCCCAGTGTGCATGAGACCCTGAGTTCGATGCCCAGCAATGAACCAACAAAAAGCTAAGTTCTACCAAGGGCATATGCTAGACAAGAGCATCCCTAATCTGAGAACCCCAAATGCTGCAAAAGCTGAAACCTTCTGAACACCTTATTAGGCCCATAAATTTTGGATTTTACATTTTTCAGATTAGCGATGTTCAACAGAAAGTCTATGCCACTACTCCAAAATCTGAACAGCTTCCAGCACCCAGCATTTTGGACAAGATATATTCAAAGTGTTAATTAGAAATGTACTGAGTTGGGCATGGTGGCACATACCTAAAATCTCTACACTATGGAGGCTGACGCAAGAGGATGCTGTGAGTTGAAGGTCAGACTGTTGGAGGTCTAAAAAGTGAGTTCAAAGCCAGTCTGAACTATATAGTAACCCATCTCAAAGAACAAAACCAAAAAATTTCCTTTACTGGCATAGTGCCCTCATAGCAGATGGACAAGTATAATGTCAACATTATACATCCCCGGCTTTCAGGTGCAGTGGTGCATGTCTGCAATCCCAACATTTGGGAAGCTAAAACCAGCCTGGGCTATAAGTTCAAGGCTAGCCTGCAAGATCCTATCTCCAAACAAACAAGTCTGAGATCTGGCCTTGTCACTTTGTTACACTACGAACCTCACTTTACCACATTCAGGTCCCTATTTTCTTAAGAGACAGGTCTGAAATTTGGCTCTGAGGTGTTATGAACAGCTAATGATATGTAATAGATGATGAAAAGGTTTCAATAAAGATATGCAAGCTACTTTTCTTCCACTGGAAAGACTGAAAACAAAGTCTCTCCCCACTAAATCTAAGGGATTCAGATTTCCTACTCTTGGAAAACACCTACACGTCGCTGGAACTGTGTGTACTTCTTGATGTACTTTGACGCAAATACAAGTGTGGTAACCACATACTCAAAATCTAAGTTCAAATGATACTCTGAAGATCTACATACAATTTGGCCTTACAATTAATTAGTCAAACTAAGAATAGCAAGTAAGTGTTAAGATATGGCTACCTATATAGGAAACAATCACTAACTTTTGGAATGTAATCCTAATTTACAAAGTAGTATCTAACCAACCTTTTAGTCACTGGCGATTGCCATCGTTTTCCCATCTGCATCCTGAGAGCAGTGGAGAAAAACAAATGTCAAAAATTCCATTCACTAAATTGTTTATTTCAATGGAGTTAAGTCACACCAACAGATTTTTAATTTTCCAAAGGTAACAGGAGTTAATACTAACTCAGTGGTTTGTTCTCCCAATTGTATATACATATGTAGCAGCGCTTCAAACTTTTCAAGTTCTCATTCAATACTAGTAACTACCAACAAAGGAAAACTAAGACCCCAAATAGGAAAACTCGCACAAACTAAACTTGACTTCTCAATTAACCAAATTCGGCAATAATCCTGCAGCCCACCCTTTACACTATGAACTTTCACATGACTGCATGGTATCAGCAAACACTATCAAACAAATGTCATTACCGAGGGGAGGTCTCTTTCTGGCGCTTTCGTGGTGATGGAGACGCACTTCGGGAAGGGGAATGTCTCCGCCGCCGGCCCACCTCACCATTTTTCACATGGGATCGCTTGGGTCGCTCATCTTCAGAGGAAGAGGATGAGCCAGAGTCTATAATTACACAGTAAAAGAAAATGTTACATGACATCTGTGCTTAACAGAGCCTGTCCAAGTTTTGGATCTAGTGTAGAAGTAACATGTATACAACCCTGAAGTTCCAGACAAAGATACACTCAATGATTTCAAAGCCAAGCCTGTATAAATACACACCACACCAAAAAAATCACTTCCATAGTACAACCAAGAATCAATGATAGGGGCTGGCGAGATGGCTCAGTGGTCTAAAGCGCCTACTTAGAACAAGTTTAGCCAAAACAAAGGGGCCGCGGTTCAATCCCCCAGCACCACATGCCAGCCAGCCCCGCCCCCTGGTGGGCTGAGCTGGCCACACACACACACACACACACACACACACACACACACAAATAAATAAAATTTAAAAAAAAGAATCAATGATAGCATTCAAGCATCTCTTAAAGTCTAGTGATTTTCCAAATAACCAAGTGAGAAGGCATCTCAGGCAACAAATTGATTCCTGCTACTTTAGGCTTTTAACACTGCTGTGGGATGGTCTGTCCTCTATACTGTACAAGAAAAGCAAAACTAGTGCTTACTCAGCACAATTACCACATAAGCTAGTAAGAACAGAATTTTGTGTTTTGTTTTGTTTTTTTGAAGCTGGCTCAGGCTGCCTTAAGGGCAGGTCGAGCTGGGGATCGAACCACAGTATCCTGCGCCTGACTGAGTTTGCATGAGCGGGTCCTTATACAACTGAGCTGACCAGCAGGCCCCCAAAGCTAGTAAGAACAGAGAGTCTGGATAAAAGAGCCAGGTTTTTGTGCAACAGTACTTCTGTGGAATACTCTTTAAACAAACAAACCCATTTCTATTTTACAAATATAGATGCATAAACATATATACAAGGAACCTCCCCAGAAACAACCATAAGAACTTTAAATGAACATATAACTACTCCAGTTACCTATAGTCAAATGGCTCAATAAATTGGTATGTGTATTTTATTGACTGGCTTTTTGATACAGGGTCTCCCTATGCAGTTCACACTGGCTTGGGCTCACTTTGTACCCCAGGCTGATCTCAAACTTGCAACAATCCTCCTGTCTCAGCTTCCCCAAATGCTGGGATTACAGAGGTATGTCACCATGCCTGGCTATAGTATATTTTTATAAAGAATACTACAGCTGGCAAAAGAATAAAGTAGACTTCTAAGAGTAAGGAAAGATACTCTACATAGTGAGTTTTGTTTCCCTCCTTTAAAACATATACAGCTGGTAATGTGCAAAAACTTTCTGAATAAAAGCTTTTAGTGGTTATCACTGGGGAAGACTGAAGAAAAGAATTAAGCTTTTTCTTTTTTTTTAAACTGACTTTAAAATGGATTTTGATTTTTTATTGAGATAAGATCTCACTATACATAGTTTAGTTCACTATATCTCACTATATATAGGCTGGCCTCAAAGTCATGGCAATCCTTGTATCTGCTTCCCAAGAGTTGGGATTACAAGTGTACCCCACCAAAATGCAGCTAAATCATTCCATTTTTAAAACAATTTGTCCCATTCCAGATTTCTATGTAAGCACAAATATTTAAGTCTAATCACTGCACATTCATAGACAGTTATCATTCAAAATATGTAGCTCCAAGAGCTAAGTGGTGCATTACCAGATGAAGACTGCTGGTTCTGTCGTCTGTACTGGCGTCGCTGCTGCACAGAATCAGCTGCAGCCATCTTGCCACCTTTATCTTCTTCTGAAAGATGGACACACACAAAAAGTGTTTCTTTAGTTACTGTTACAAAATTTCAATATTCAAATAGAATAGTCTTTTTAACTTTCCGCTGGTTGGGTCTGGCAATAAACATAACCACAATATATAACCAAAATAACCTTAAGAATTACAGGTTGGGCTGAAAGTTACTATCGCAAATCTGTATTTTTTCAGTTTCAGAGATAAAAAAAAAAAAAAGCAAACTCAGATGAAATTCATTAATTAAACCAAAAAGTCATTAGTATTAGAGCTGGGAATTCCAACCGGGTCTCATGCCAGTCTTAGTTTTTCTTCAGTAAGCAACAATCTAATTAAGGTTCAATCAGAAAAGAAAGACCAGGGCCGGGGAGTTAGCTCAGTTGAATTAAGAGCTTGCCTGGCAAGGGCAAAGGCCTGAGTTCAATCTCTGGTTCCAAAAAAAGAAAAAGAAAAAGAAAAAGAAAAAGAAAAAGAAAAAGAAAAAGAAAAAGAAAAAGAAAAAGACAAACCAGATATGCAAAGGCAAAATCAACTAAAAATAAAGTAAAAGACTTACCAGATTCAGATAACTCTACTTTTCTAGGCTTTGGTGCTGGTGATGGTGATTCTCTTTTCTCAGTACCTTTATGTTTTGTTACTAAAAAGTGAAAAAACAGAACAAATCATACAATAAGGACAACATAAGATGCCTGCCTTCTTCCTTTTTTTCTTTTCGAGACAGGTTCTCCTTACACAGTGACGCTGGCCTTGAGCTCACTTTATAGCCCAGGATGGTCTTGAACTCTTAACAGTCCTGCTTCAGCCTCCCTAGTGCTGGGATTATAGGCATGTGCCACCATGCCCAGTCGCTGTCTCAGCATGCCCCGGAGGTGGGGTCTGCACAGCACACAGGAGATCGAACCCTGGTTCCTAGTCCACTGAGCTATTTGGTCGGCCCTTAGATGCCTTCTTAACAGTACAAAAAAAGAAAAAAAAAAAAAACCACTAATACGTCTAACCCCCCCAAAAAATTTACTAATAATTTTCATCATCTCAAGCATTTTTAAATGGCAAAAAACTTCAAAAACATCTACAGGGATTTCCAAATCTTGAGATTGTAAAGGATCCAACAGCTATGAGAAACAGAACTGTTACCAAGTAGAACAAGCTTCATGCTGCCTAGTACACTGAACTTGGGAAAATAAATCTTGAATGTAACTCAAGAACTACAACCTAAAACAAACATATAAACTCTTATCAACACAGCTTTCAGAAACCACTACACATACACACACTAAACAAAACACAACCACACCCCTAACAAAACACATCCACAGTTTCAGAAAAGCAGCAATGATCCACAATAAGCAACTGATAGGCTGGGGCAATAGCACACACCAGTCTCCTAGCATTCTGGAAGCTGAGGTAGGAAAAATAGATGTATGAGCCCAACATGAGACATTTAAAAAGGCCCTGTAATAGCTATAGATGTTGTCCAGGTTAAAGGCCAAGTTCAACCTTCCCACCCCCGAACCAAAATAATGAAACTCACAGGAAAGACACTTGGTTTGAAATATAAATAATTAGGCAAGAACTGCAGGCTCCTTCTGTAGCACAAAATGTTCAGAAGAACATTGGAGATTTAAACTAATATGCGAAAATAAAAATAAAAAATATGCAGATAATCAAATTGTAAAAATTATTAAAAGCCTCCAACGTAGCTATGCAGTGGAAGCAGTAAGATTCCAAAACTCTTGTAACCAACTATCTGGAAAATTAAGGTAACTACTTTTCTAGTAGACCCTTGACTTGCGAACTTAACACATTCCCAAGAGTTGATTATAACATGAGCTGTTAGCTGAAGGCTCAGGATCCTCTACACAGCCTTCAAAGTCTCTCTCCTATATACACAGGCAGATCTCAGGGTCTTTAGAGAGACCCAGGATTTCTCAACCCCGTACCAGAAAGGATGTTGTAATGCTCCTTCCAGAACTGCTTAAGGGTTAAATTTGTACTAGGCCATCTGGAAGCACAAGTGGCCAATATTTCAGGTCATAACTCAAGACTGGTCATAAACTGAAACTAAAATTCTGGTTATAGCCCAAGCTGTTCACATGTCAGGCCAGCTGTCGCTCGAGGGAGCACTGTATGAGTCTGCTGTATCATACACACTGGTAGGCACTGCTCATAGCGTGACATCCTCTTCACTTTTTTTTTCAGAACCGGAGATTGAACTCAGTCCCTTGCCAGGGAAGCGCTTATTCCACTGAGCCATCTCCCTAGCCCTCTTCTTCACTTTATAAGAGAAATTTGAGCCTTAAAAAGGAGTAACTTTACCATAGTCATAGGAACATGTATGTGACTTAGAATGTGAACCCAAGATGGTTTTCAGGGCATCAACTTTGGGATTCCAAGCAACTACCATCTCTGCTTATAATACCATTCCACTACAACAAATATGTTAAACACATGCAATTATAATTATTTACTTATACAACAGATTAACCTGAAACATTCCCTCTAATAGATAAACCTATAGATAACATAATGCGCCAGGGATTCTTTTTTTTTTATTTTTATTTTTTAGCAGAACTGGGAATTGAACTCAGGCCTTTGTGCTTGCCAGGGAAGCGCTTATTCCACTGAGCCATCTGACCAGTCCCATAAGGGACCTTTTTTTTTTTTTGCGGAACAGGGATTGAACTCAGGACCTTGCGCTTGCCAAGCAAGCACTTATTCTACTGAGCTATCTCCTTGGCCCCACGCCAGGGATTCTTAAAAAAGTTTTGTGTGATAAATGTAACCATCATGAATTAGTCCAGATGGTAGTTGTAACTTAAGAACTGGTATAACAGCAACATTGTTTTCTCATCTTTGCTAAAATACTCAAATTGAAAATTACTTTTTCAATGACCATAACTTTCTTAATTATCCTACTTATTAAACCATCTGGATAGACCACTGAATTAGGTAAAAAATACTTAGCATCTAATGAGCATGAGTTATGAGAGTAAGGATAGATTAAAACACACTTTAGCAAATGTAGACACAAAATAGGAATACTTAAAATATTTTTAACGATTTGAGGCTATTTTCTAGTTCATAGCCTCTACTTTTAAGTATAATCCTCAATTCCTGTAAAAAGAAAGTTATCCATAAAACCAAACAGCCAAGTTATCACCTTTGAGAACTGTTCCAAAACGTTATTTTGGAAGTTGCTTTTAAAGTAGAAGAATAGATCTCCCCTTAAGAAATGTTAAAAATAAGGTAAATTTACAAGACAGTTGATAAATGCCTACTTAAGAAATAATGTATCAGGTTTTTCCCAATGGAAAGACACCTCTGAAGTTTTGTAATTTATGCTTCTACGAACTCAGCCAAAAGTGTATTATTAATGTTGTTATACAACCAAACAAGAATCCACTATATATTCCTACTTCAGTTTGATATAACTAAATAGCATTATTAGTATTTTAAATAACTAATGTTCTAAATTTCTGTTCATTCTTCTAGAGATTTTATACCACTTATAACTGCTGTATTAGGAGTGCTTTATTCAAAGACAAAAATTGGGGCTGGTGAGATGGCTCAGTGGTCTAAAGCACCTACTTAGAACAAGCTT